ACGGTTGAAAATATCTAATGTATGTGTTGCAGCTACTGACAAGTACAGAAACTGCAGTTGATCGAAATCATGACATGAAACAGACTCATTTATAAATTGCTTAAGAAATTCAAAACCTTATTTAGCCGCCTAAGCAGTTTGTTTTGAGGCTTTTTTTTTTTTTTAACCTTCATAGTCATGGTATGTTTCGACTGCATACAGATGTGCAAATAGCTTTACAGGCCGTACATAGTTGGGGGCCCTCAGACACATATATTAGCATATGTTTTCTTGTTTCTCCAGAGAGGCTCTCTCCTCAAACTCGTCCACCAGCCCCTCATCCTGTTCAGAGAGAGGGGGGTGGTGCATTTCCACCAATGCCCTGTAGAGCCCTGCCCCCAATACTCCTCCAATGGGGGGGGCAACTAGAGGCACCCACCACCACCCATTTCCAGACCTGCACAGACAAAGACAAAAAACTGAACATGGGTCATTTAATAATTAACAGAGATGTTCTGCCCTTGTCTCACCCCTAGTCACTGTGACATAATACAAATCCTGCCCCCAAAAGCCAGTGTATCCTTCCTGTGTACCTGAACACATCACCCCCCCAGCCTGCTATGGCAGTGAAGACCCTGGGTGCGATGTCTCTGGTGGGGTTGATGGCATAGCCACTGTTGCTGCCCAGAGAAATGCCAATGAGCATCACCAGGAGACCCACTGCGAAGGGCTCGCTGCCCGGTGCCGCCGGTTTGTTCTTCTGATCCGACAAAGCCATCAAGCAGAGCAGCAGCATGGCCGTGCCGAACACCTGGCACACACACAAAACAAACATCACCATAGATAGCTGCGCGTAAACAACAAAGAAAATGGTCAAGGCAGACTGTGTCAGATGATGGTGATTGGTAGCTGTAATCCTTTAATCCTGTTTCATGTCTACCTGATCAATGAATCCAGCCACCAAGGAGAGGTACGGTGCAGGATAGGTGGCAAAGATACCTGCTGTGGCCTTCACTCCTGTTACAGTCAGGTTTCCTCCACAATAGTGATATATGGCTTCTGCATATGGAAACAATTTGGACAAGACAGATACTCTTAGATGTATGACTGCCACCAGAAGTAGAATAGAAATACAGAAATCATACATGGGCAAGAGAAGTAAATCTATAATATTCAATAAGACTACAGGTGTTCAGTGCCGAACATGCAGTGTGGCCTCACCATAATAGACAGCATAGATCGTCCCTGCGGCCAGGAATGACCCAAATAGTTGCGCAAAAACATACAGAGGCAGCATCTTCCACCCAAGGCGGCCAAAGGTGCACATGGTGAATGACACTGCTGCATTCATGTGAGCCCCTGATGGAGAATGAGAAATATGGGTCGGATGATATAGGGATTTGTGATGGCTTTTGAGGATTCTATAGAGTTCACAAGAGTCAGCTGTCGTACCTGAGACCGTCCCTCCGACATGAACCCCCATAGCAACACCCAGTCCGAAACCCAGATTGATGCTGAGGTACTGTCCGAACGCTCCCTCTCCTGTCACTACCTGGGCCACAGACCCCAGGCCAAACACCTGGACGCAGAGAGAAGTAATTGTGCACAGGCAAAGTCACAGGCGACATTTAAAGAGAAGCAAACTACACGAGGAAAACTTCTGGACAGGCTAATTTAGGGAAAGCATTCCAGCAAAGAATGATGAAAATAAGTGTTGCGTCAATGAAGTCTCCGTGAAGCAGCCAAGATGTAACTGGATGAATGTTTTTGTTTAGAAATGTTGGTACTGCAAGTGTAAAACAAGCTGAACTGAACCAAACTCTTACATATGACTTTTAACTCAGTGAAACTGACTGTGGTCCCGGTGGGGGGGAAAAAAGCTGACACTGAAAAACATTCATTCAGGAAACAGGAAACATGTGGTTCCTCATTCGAAAGTTATGCGTATTTAGATTCAGAGTGAGTTTGGGTATTCCAAGTAAAGCCTGCAGGGTTCCAAGTAGGGTTTGTTGAAACAGCTGACACAGCTAACATGTGACTTTTGCAACCCACTCCATGTGGCCCACTGCCTGACCATTACTCTTGCAACACTAGATTTCCTGATTCACCCACTTGAACCAACCAATCCCCACCCACGACCCTCATCATGTGACTGTAATGTGCTTCTTAGTGTGAACTTTATCAGGGTCAAGAACATGGCATTAATAATCAATGGCACATGTTTGTTACAGATAAGCATGCCTCAAAACAGAGAGAACGTGAAACTGTCACCAGAATGATGGATATGAGAGACTTTTAGACGTCTAAAACCACACATTATTATACATAGCAAGCGTTTCTTACCATCATGACATATGTGCAAAGGGATTCAGCAAGTCCCACTCGAACAAGTTCATTCTTTATCCAAACTCTGGGTCCAGTTATATCGACTCTTTTCCGCTGAGAGACCCCTAGTTTGACTGACTGCAAGTCCTTCATTTCTTCTTCTTCTTTTCTTTACTCCCGTTTCTTTTGGAGTTTATTTTATAATTTAGCAAAAATAAAGATCAAGTTCTGACCCCCTTGAAGAATCTATGTGGTGCCTCCTCCCATGTCAGAGAGTAGTCCAAAAACAAGTCTCTTTCTGGCTACTTGCCCCCTCTATCCTCCTCCCCCTCTAATGTCTCTTTTTGTCTACTCTACTCTCTTTGAGTGTGTGTGTGTGTGTGTCTCCCTCTCTCTGTCACGCATACTCATTGGGATTTGTCCTCTCTTCATAGCCTTAATCTAGCCCCCTGGTCCTGGATACTTTCCACAGTCAGACCCATGCTTCATAGCCTTGCTTTACTCGAGGATACCAATGAGGATACATGTTAAAGATTTACCTACTGCGCCAAATCAGAGGAAATGTTAGGTGCCCCCTTTAATTGAAAAAAGAAATTGGTATGATACAATTCTATCTTGTGAATGCACATCGGTCAGGAAAAGTTTCAGTTTTAATGCTTCATCAGTTAATGTATAACTTGCTCTCATAGAATGTTCTCATGTGAAATATATTGCATTGATCAGTCTGTCAACTGATTTATGTCAGTGTAGAGATTATTTAAAATGTTGCCATTTGTATATTTATTCAGTTTGTTTCATGGACAACATGCCACTCTTATCCATATTATCCATGTTATTTTATTATGTTGACTGCCCCGATACTGTGTTAAATATTTTCACTTTAAATAACAAGAGATTAGGGCAGTGGGGGGGGGACCATCGAAACAACAGAGAGTATTCATTAAATGTACAGCTCCATTCAACAGTCACACTTATCTGGACTGCACACTGGAAATTTACAAAAGCTTGCCGTCAAGTCCACATATGGTCATCCCATCTGAGCCATTGTTGTTTTCATTTGCTAACATGTTGACAACAATTGAGTTTAGAGATCGCTGCTTTTGGAAAATTGCTTGCCATTATTACTTGATGCATAAAGTCTGTTCAAATAGTGCCACTAAAACATAAGAAGTTTCAAGGTGACAATAAAAACTGGTGAAACCTTCTAATTACACGACTCGAGATATTTGCTATACTTCTTTAAACTAGTAGCGCGTTCATCCACTTTCAGTGTCCCCTGGAAACATCCCTAAGTGTGTTTTTACATTGAAAATGAGTGTGCTAGTTTTCAGTGAAATAATCTAGAGAATATGCTTTTTGGATTGAATTCTGAGACTCATTAACCTGCTTTCTAGTAGTGAGGCTATCTTTCCACCTCTTGACTTTCTTGCACTTCAAACTACCAATGTCTATGATCTTTCCACTCTGTGCAGCAGTCACGTAGCTTCAGCCCAACGGACCAACACTTTCATCATGGGTGCGGTCAGAGATTCAACAGACTTTTGTACAAGAGTAAGTTTTCTACTCAATTTGTACATTACTTCTTACTGTAGTAATGTTCAAGTATAAATTGTACAATTTTCACAAAGTAAAAATACTCCATGATTTCATAGTCATCAGATAAACCATTCAGCTAAACATAAAATGAATGTGTCATAATGTCTAAGCATAACGTCCACACAATACCAGTTCAATTTATTAGCCTGATTGCCCTCTAGTGGCTAATAAGGTGCACTGCCGTTATTCACGACCACTATTGGGACAGGTATCAGACTCTAAAGTTCAATATATTTGTACGGGAGGGGACTAAGTGAAATGTGCTGAAACGGCAAAAGTTAAGGGCGTTGTACAGCCACACAGGATATTTTTGTATATTTCCATATACTTATCTTGACTGTTGCACAATTTCACAGAGCTTACATACTTTATCTCCTTTGTCTTGTTTGTACACACATATGATAATAATATCTGACCAAAAATCGAATCAAGCCTGTGAGCCACCGTGAGCTGTGTTTTCTGCTGTCAGTGGCGAATTGTGAAGAACATTAAAAGCAGATGTTTTGTTGTTTTTATGATGGGGAGCTACTTAGGTCAATGCCCATTAAAGCACAGCCCCTCTGCCCGAATGGGATTGTTCCAGTATGCTGTAATTGTTTACAGCTGTCAGGATTTTAGGCATTAGGCACACCTACTTTGGGTAGAAGAAGGTGGCGCAAGCTGGCCAGCTGTTCCCAGACTCTTTCATTTCGTGTTTGCAGACGCTCAACCGACTGTGCAATGGTTTGGTTGGCTATATTTTGGCACCCTGTTTGGGCCGTTTTCACGGCGGTGCTGGCGGTCGTTGTGCGCATACAGCGCAGAGGTCCCTGGGATCCACAAGCCTGCTCCGTGCGCCTGAAGGGGAAGACCGCAATAGTGACAGGAGCCAATACAGGTTGGTTGAATGTGGCCTCTTCCATTCTACTATACATGATCTCTATAGGGCATGCAACCTCACAGTTTTAATGTGGCAACACTATTGCAAGTGGAATAAGGATGGCTTTTTGTGCTTCTTTACGTTTGGCCATTTGTTATTGCAGTTAACCTGTAATCTGTAAATTTCTCCACTTCTAAAGCACGTGGTTCAAGTTTTTGCTAAGCAACAGACACTTTCACTTTTCAAGATGCCAATAGTAGGAAATATATTTTAACTTTTTTGTTATCATGAATGTAAGGTCATACCACACTATACTCATATTAAAAGTCGTTGTAGTAATTTTCTCAAATAGAACTAGCAAGACATGCCTTGTCCTGCTGTGGCTGTGAATGATTAATCTAGATTCAATGTATAGTAAATTATTCACTATATGAGTAAGAGCTGCATGCTGCTTCAGAGAAAGATACATGTTAGGCGAGTAAATAGCAAGTGAAGTAAAGAGCCTGCTATGCTGCTGAATTTGACAAGTGTAAGAGTTGTTTTGGCAGCAATAACTAACTACCATCTTGAGTTATATCAAGTCTTCCTTAGAACTCAACTTTAGTAGTAACTCTGAATTACCTGCAGTATGATCAGTTTGTAACTGTCACTATTACTCATACCTAATTACTTTGTTATTAATATTTCATTTCTCACCATTATGTTCCCCCTCAAATAACAAGAGGTTTTGTTACTCTTTCACTAAATCTGTGCTCTTGATTTATTTACCTCTGGCTTCCCAGTTGAACATTTTGGTCCCTTTTTCCCTCTTTAAAATATCAACTTTGTCAGAATTTACATTGTTCAATTTCAAGTTTATTTGTATAGCTCCACTTCATACAAATAACGCAATTCAAAGTGCTTTACGTGGTCATTTAGAAAGCAAGGCATGCATCAACAGAAAAGATGCATAGAGCAGTGGCACTAAAAGCAGCAAAGGGTCAGCTGCACTCTGAATTAGCTTCAGAGTTATTTTTGCCCCAAGAAGAGATCACTGATGGAGGGTCTTTACAGAGTTTGTTATAACCATTATCCCTAGTTACTCCAGTGAGACCACAGCGCCAAGTCACATATTGGTGCCACCATTGTGGAATGAAAGTTACTCCATGTATTTACCCGAACAACATTTCTCACATTTATGTAAAACAAGAAAGTTTCCTTCCCCACATGATATCCAAACGATAAAGAAAATCGGCATTGTTGCCAGATTGGGTGGTTTTCTTCTCAGTTGGGCTACTTTTTATCTAATTACAAGTTTTCAGTCATGATTCACTTGATGCAATTCTGAAAACCAAGGACAGGGGGACATAGTTTCACAGATAACAGATGGGAGGCTATGACAACCCGCAACAGGGAGACAAACATTGTTTTCCGGCATGTCAATGCTGCACCCTCTCACCAAGCAATCATACTGGAAGGCATGAGGACAGATACACACAGAACGATACCTGATCTCTCTTCAGAAACGGTTTTAAAGGGCTCACTTCACCAAAACTACAAAACAGATTTTCTCACTTGCCTTTTTAGATTAAGAGATACGCTGTCAACAGTTTAGGGACTATGATGTGATCGGGATCGTTGCCAAATACCATAATCATTCTGCTATGGTCACAACTATTAATTCCTCTCCATACCACTGTCTCTGCTGCTTCAGCCTATACCTCCACAAATTCATCCAGAAAAACCTATAAATGGACTGAGGCTCTTTTATGTCTCTTCCTCTCCCAGGTTTGCCAACAAGAACAGCGTTTGGTCTGTTAATGGTGTCCGCATGAATCACTATAGAAACCTGGCTAAAGAAGGAAATCAGTGATCGCAACATCAGCAATTCGGGGTTTAAAAACAGCTTTGTAATTATTTACAAGTTATAAATCCTACAGCTGTTTAGCATTAGGCAAGAAATAGTTTACTATTGCATGCAGCTGTATCTGTTTTGTTAGAAAGTTGAAGGAGGAGAACATCTTGGATCCTTGCTACCAACTGTGCTAATCATTACAGAGCATATCACATATTGTATAAGTAATTATTCCATTACACATTTACAAGTGTTTGAAAACTGGCTCATGCCATCCGCGTAGAGTAAAGATGGAGAGTGAAGCAAACTGAAAGCTGCATTACTGAAATGTTTCCAGTGTAGATACACACTGAGTTAATCAGCTTGTTTACTGATAACAAGGTTGATAGGAGTAGAGCTGCGGCCCAGAAAACCAGGAGAGCTACCGCAGTCGCGTGATACTTCTCTGTGGGGTTGTCACTACTAGTGACACCATTCACATTAGTCATTATTAAAAACATGCGGTCAAACAATGCAAACTCAAAGAACAAAGCAGTAAGATTAATTGTTACTACTAAGGATTATTATTGACTCTCTCACATTCATCCACAACTTGACGCAGCCCAGTCGCTCTCTGCTGAGAGAACCTGCTCACACACCCCTGTTGACACCATCAACAGATGATCTCCACCAATATCACAGGCAGAACAACAAGAGCAAAAATCACACTTTACCATGGAGCTGACCCCCTTTAACAGATCATAACCTTGCGGAACGCAAATAAACTGCAACCTTGCTGCTACATTTACAGATTGACTAACTGAACTGAAATCAACGGTATAGAGCAAGATTGTGTAATATTTAAAGAAAGACACAGCATGTTTATTCTCTTAGAAATTAAACATTAAAACCCACCATTGTTCAATTGAATGCACTCACTGGTATGACCAGTATTATTGCCAATAATTATTAGACAGATAGCTGTACTGTACAACTGACATACGCTCTTAGGTTTCCCTTAATCTTAAGACTTCACCTGCCAAAATGACAGGAACCTCATAGCAGCACTGCGGAAAGGTCGCTTTTACTGTTAATCTTTAAGTCCATGTAAATACAACACCCCAATGTACCTTGAAGAATAATTTAAAATATATTCCCTGCATCTTCTTGCAACAGCGTTTTTTAATTGTATTTAATTCTGGATTTTCAAAATGTTCTTTCATTTGGAATTTCCAATTCCCTCACTGTCACTGCTAACCCAGTTGGTTTATATTATGTATTTGTCAGTGTAACTAAGGCCAATTGTTTTGTGTGTGCAGCCAATTTTAAATATAAAATAGATGTTAAATAGGTCATAAAATTGATATCACTTTTTCTGAGACATCTCTTTATCATGAGCATGTGTGACATTTACCATTCCATACTAGTAAATGTCACATACCACTTAGAGATGTAATACATCAAACAAGCCAAAAATCCCCAACTCTCCCGTCTTTAAGAGCTGAAACTAGTAAGTTTCAAACATTCTTGGAAACAAATATATGTTTTACAAGAACCACAGGCTTTTGTACCACAATACCACATGTCCCAACATGTGTATTTGAAAATAGAGCCTATAGGTTCAAAAGGTGTGTTGATTGCTATCTGCTTCATGGACCTTTTTTGTTGTAAAGTATTGCAAACAACTCTTTTGCTCTCTTTCACTTTGCTAGGGATCGGGAAGTTCATTGCCTTGGACTTAGCACGTCGGGGGGCTCGTGTTATTCTGGCCTGTCGAAGCGAAGCCCGGGGGACAGCAGCACTTAAAGAAATCAGGGAGAAGACAGGGAACTCTGACATCCACCTGCGTCTGGTGGACCTGTCTTCTCTGGACTCTGTCAGGGAATTTGCCAAGGGGATTCTCACAGAGGAGAAAGCTCTCCACATCCTCGTCAACAATGCTGGAGTATCAGGTGATACATGTGCAAGCAGCAGAAATGGAATGCTAGTTTTAAAGCTGCATTGGGCATTTCGAGGACCAGAAATATCAACAAGAGTTAACCTTAGGAACCATGCAGTATGATAACGGAATCCTAATACTATGTGCTCAGACTTGGCAAAGCTTCCAGCAGAGCAACAGAAGACGTTGTACAACTCTCTCCATGAGCTTTATGTTGGTGGACTTTCCTTTTTAAAGTTGTAATATGTGGGAGTGAATAAGTCAATGTCCTCATAATTGGCAAAAACAACTGCGTACGTATAAGGTGAAGTCAGGTTAGGTTAAGTTAAAGGTTAGTTGTAATATTTACAGAATGGATTATGCCAATGTGAGGTACTCCTAACTATAGAAGTATGTGTTTGTATATCTAATCTTATTTGTTAAATCCAATCTATTTTTTTGATTCTACTATCAGGTTTACCCAGGCAGATAACCAAGGATGGGTTTGAGTCTTCTTTTGCCACCAACCACCTGGGACCATTTCTCCTCACCAACCTGCTGCTGGGTAGGTCTCTCTTTAATACAGCTGTTATGTTGTGGGTATGAAATGATGATTAACTGTCATTGTCATGACGTACCTAATATTTTGTCTTCTGTTTCTCTCTCTGCTCCTCGTGTCTTTTTCCTTTCCTCGCTCCGCATGTCTCTGCTTCACCCCAGACCTGATGAAGAGTTCAGCTCCATCGCGTATTGTCACCCTTGCCTCAGTCAACCATAAGAAGGGTGTAGTGGACTTTTCTCATTTTCATGGCGAGAACCTCACTTATCACATGGATTCTGTCTACAACCACACGAAGCTGCACAATGTCATCTGTACGAAGGAGCTAGCACGCAGGCTAGAAGGGACAGGTGGGCTAAAATCAAGATTATTATATTATCCATTGGTATAGCGATTGCATGGTCTATTCTGTTAAATATGTGCTGCAGAAAGTTAAGTCAGTTTTATTTATATAGCCCAACATCACAAATCACAAATATGCCTCAAGGGGCTTTACAGTATGTACAACACACGACAACCTCTGTCTTTTAACACTTGCTTTAAAATAAAAAAAATGTAAAAGCTGTAACTGGGGAAAAGCGTAAGAAACCTCACGAAGACCAGCTGAGGAGGGATCAAGTCCTGATTGGACAGCCCAGTCTCACAGCATTTCGTGAAATAGTCACAAAATTAAAAACTAGAGATTTGGTGTATGTGGACACAAATTTTACTCATGTCGCTCAGCACAAAAACAAAAGTGAGTGAGTGTGTTTTCAAAGTCAACTAAATTATTCTGAGAATATGTAAACTCTATAGATAATTTGTAAAACATACACAGACAAAGCAAAGCAGTTATTTGAATTGTTGAATAAGCTGTTGAAATGTTACAAATACTAAATAATTTGTAGGCAGACTATCCAAATAAAAGTACCAGTAGGGTAGATTAAAATGCACATTTTAAAATGATCTGCACCCTGAAATGTAGATCAGTAAATGAGACAAACCTGTAACCAAAAGACAAAAAAATCACCTTTTATTTTGTTTTAATTGGGCACCTTTGGTTGTCATTGTTCATGGTATATACTAAATGTTGCAACATTATGCTCATAGTTCTAATAATTTAGCACCGCTGCTTACCAAACAGGATCTGTGACATGAAACTTCTTGCAATGAACAAGTTTGTTTATGCATTATGTGCTTGCCACCTCTGCTCTTCGTCAAACACACACACGAGTGGTCTGATCAAACCGAAGACTTTAAATTACACGTGACAAAGTATATATTTCTGTCTTTTGAACTAAAAAGGAACCAGATGAAGGTATGCAAACGTTCTAGTGAATTTAGCGAAGCAGTTGAAACTAATTTTCCCCTTTTGATTCTTCTGAAAAGATTAGAAAAAAAATCAACAGACGAAAGTCTGCATTCAAAGACTTGTTGCTGAGACTGGCCTTGCTTACATTCTCTGTCCCTCTCTGTTTCCTGTGGATGTTTGTGTCTGTCTATGTGTTTACTTGCATGTAGGTGTCACGGCAAACTCTGTCCACCCTGGTATTGTCATCACAGAAGTGTTGAGACACTATCCATTGATGATTCGTTTTATTTTCAACCTGGTTGGATTTTTCTTTTTCAAGGTGAGTACATCGAGTCACTGTCCACATCATTTCTCCACTGTCATGTTTTGCAGCTTTCCAGGTTGAATGTTGTTGATCAGTATCCTCCTCCTAGTATTTAAATACACTCTCACCTAATTCGCTGCAGGCGAGAGACTGGTTTGGCAGAATCAATATCAGAAAGCCAATCACGGTCTGCCTGCTGAGATAGAGCGTGCTCAGTGAGACAGGTTCTATGTTCAGGTCAACAAGACCTGCTATTCCCTCAACTGGAGACGCTTGAGTTACAGTACTTCATGGCAAACTGAGCAATTTAATTATTACTTATCAAAGGCATGTGGCCCCGTTGTGAGAGTTGACCTTCCTGTAGTGTTCCAGTTAAAACTGACCAACTTTCAATTTAATTAATTTGGGAACGCCTGAGCTTGAAATTATAAACAGCCACCGATATAGGGCTCATGAAAATGAGAACAATATATATATATATTATTAGGCCCAAACCCTGATTGCAAATCAGGATGTTTGCGTATGAGAATGTGTGTGTGTATGCATGTGGCCATGTTGCAACAGCTGGCTGAAATTGTTTCTAATAGGGCTTTTTCACGGAAGACATTTTGACATGTCGGGAAAAGCGCCGGAATAAATAATGTAATTAATGATGGCTATTTAGCTGCTTTGATTTCACTTTCGTTTATTCTGGCTGACTGACACTGTCACTTGGATGCTTAAATAGAGCGGAGCCATCGTTAATGTTATTAGTAACACCTGTGCTTTACCTACTTTGACGAGTCACAATGTTTTATTGTGAGAAAGGCCAAATGTCTGCTGTAAAGATATGTTGTTTTAATGATTAGCCAGAGCACAAGCTCAATGTACAGACCAGCAGAAAACAGCAAGAAAACCAAGACGGACAAGTTAAAGTGCTACCACATGCTTCACCAGTGGTGGAAATCTGATAATATAAACTAAATATAGAACTTGGTACAAACACACATTGTTCTATGGAATCCTTTGTTCTTTAGCTTTGACTCAGACTTCCAATGAACCAAAGGCAGAAAAGTCAGCACTAATACCAGAGATCTTTGTTGTGTTAAGATCCACATCAGATGAAATGTGTAAGAAGAGCTCAATACCCTTTTTGATCATATTTAAAATGAAATCAGTTTAAGGAGGCACAGATATTGTGACAAGCTAAAGGATGAAGCTAATATTCGATTTGTTCTTATTGTTAACAAATCCCATGAAAAGCCCAAAACCACTGAATGACTCTTCGCTAAGCCCGTCCTCCCTTTGTTAGTGTCACTCAAACTCCAGCATGTATGCAATGAACACATTGATTTACCACTCTAACATACTGTTTGAAACAATTGGACTGTCGCTTTTACCAGCTAAAATTTTAACAGTTATTGACAGTATTGCTGTAGCGAGCATTAACTCCATGAGATGGTTGAAAACTCTGACTCTCTGAGCTTTTATGTGTCAAGCTGACTTGTAATGTGTAACCTGCAAAGGGCCATTTGTGCATTTGAGTACAAACAATATATAATGATAACTCTGAGCTAAAAGTGATGCTTACCATCCATTTGGGGAAGTAATGCTTTGGCATGTTTGCTACAAAATACAGTGCCTAGCTAAGAAATGACTTTCTCTTTTTAAAAGATTAACCTACTGTATATTTGGAGGCATATTTACTTTAAACAATAATTCAGATTCGCTGCAACTTGTTTTAGATATTATTTCTATCAGTTATGTGTCGTACAGGGCAAAAAGAGCTGATAATCCCTCATTCCACAGGAAAACTGGTGTCCTCAGCAGACCCATCACATCACACGTGTTTGCATATTTGCACCTACGGAGATATCTATCTGTAACTTTTGTTGCTTGTACTCTCACATTTCCTCTTCATGATTCTTTCCTTCCTCTCAGTCTTCAGAGGAGGGTGCAACCAGCTCAATCTACTGTGCAGTAGCAGAGGAAATGGAGGGAATAACTGGGAAGTATTGTGACAGCGACTGCCATTTGGTCCTCCCCGCCCCTTTAGCTCGAGACGCTGCCCTGGCGGTCAAGGACTTTGAGATCAGCGAGAGGCTGACATCTAAGCTCTGAAACAACTATCAGGACAATTGAGGCCTGATAACAGAAAAGGGGTCAAATTCCACCCTCTTGCTGCACTTCTTAAGGGAACAGGTCTGACATAATGTGTCTTTAAAATGATCAGGCGACGTTTCTGAATGCACAAATGAATAATGTCTTATTTGAAAAGCTTTAATCACTTGCTCAGCAATCAATGTTCTGTGAGTAATTTTCGTTCATGAAAATGGTGAATGTTTGTTCTTTCATAGAAAGAAATGTGACTTTTATTCAGGTATGTGAATCACTGGGTTTCCTGAGACATGCTGACACCATGTGGCCAACTCATGCTTCTTCAGAAATGACAACAGAGGTTCTAATATTAGACACAATCACTTCCCTTTATTGACTTAATCTTTAACACACAATAAAACATTTGAGCATTCAGTGCTTTTTGAAGAATTTGTACAGCGTTGGTTCATCCCCTGGTGTCTTCAACCTCGCTATTTGGCTGCAGAGACAGAGATAGTTTGAGAACAGTATGGTCACCAAGGAGGTTTGTAATCATAGCACTTGATCACTTGTAAGTACAGTAGGTGTCTTCTAATCATCTTTGGATAATAAAAGAAGAAACAAGGCCATGTTGTTGATCTGATTAGAGGCTTTTTTTTAAATAAATAAATGTGTCTCACTACGTCTTCTACCATTTAAACATTTGTACCTTTCTGAAGCTCCTCCTCTATCTCATGGATGATCTCTTCGAGCACCGGAGTCACATGATCTAGCTGTTTGGGGGAAAGATGGACAGTGATCTCCACTGTTTTATCCTGGAGACACAAAAGAAGTGTTAATGACTTGTATTCAATGAGTCGTTGGTGAAAACAGCAGGGATATTGGGAGTGTAGGTGTGTGTGCGTGTGTGTGTGTGTGTGTGTGTGTGTGTGTGTGTGTGTGTGTGCGCTCACAGGATTTCCACCAAGTTCCAGCCGAGGAAGCTGTTGGACTGTAACCTCTTCAAACTGACCATCCTCCGATCGAGGCTCCATGTCCTTTCTACCTTCTCTCTCCTGCAGCACAGAGACAAGTTTACACAAACATGGACAACTAATGCAATACAGAATGGTTTTCTACTACCTCCAGTCATTCTTTCGTTGTACAAAAGTATGAAGAGACACTACTTATCTACATAAATCCCTTATCAATATACTCATTTGCTTCCTGAGCCATATCAGCATCTTATACTGATTCAGCACTGAGAGCAACCTCCACTTGACCTTTTTTTGTGACTTTATCATTCAAACTTAGCAAAACTAAAACACTGTAAAGAAAAACTCCTGAGAATTGTGAGTCTGGATTTGTCATTACATCTTTTCTGTCAATTTTGATGTGTTTTGTGCTACTAGGGCTGCAAATAACAACATTTTTTTATTATTACTTAAGAATCTTTAACTTATTCTCCCAATTACAAATCATTACTTGTTGTAAAATAAAAAATACAGACAAATGCATACTACAACTCTAAACTCAAAGGGGTTGTCATCAAATAGTTTGTCTTGTCCAACCAACACACCAAAACCCAAAAGATGTTCAATTTAATAAAAATAAAGACAAAGAAAAGTAGCAAAACCTCACAACTGCGGAGCTGGAAACAAGGAAAATTTGGCATTTTTTCCTGAAAGAATTACACGATTATTTGATTATGAAAGTATTTGTCTAATTTTTTCAGATCTAAAAACTGTACAGTGTCCAAATTTACGTAACACAATCAAACTGTTGCACATCCAGTAAAGCCACAGGACAAAATTATGAGACACAAAGCTTTAACGAGCATTCAGTATATGTGTGATTGCATTGAAAAGACATCAGGCATCACTATTAAATTGTTGCTCAGCTCTATTTCTGCTCACTGTCCAATCATCCAACCCCAGCTGCTTACCTTCATCAGCATCATCTCCTTTGGACTGAAGAAGGTGATGTGTCCCTCTGTCCTCTCAGCCAGCAGCGCCATCAGGCACGCCAACACCAAGCAACCAATCACCGCTCTGCGCATGCTCATTCTGCTCAGTCCTGGACACATACACATACACACACAGTTATACACATACTGTACATAGGCATACATTCAGAACACTAACATGCAAGTGTACAGTACAGTCAGGGATTCCGGGGTGAGTGGTACTGAGGCCAGGCCCCTTACAGAAATTAGGGAAGTGTTTTTAGCAGTGGGAAAGAGAGGCGACAGTCAAAATAGGTCAACATACAGTGTTTGACATAAAGTGTAGTGTGTCTCTGTGTGTGTGTGCGTGTGTGTGTGTGTGTGTGTGTGTGTGTGTGTGTGCATGTGTGTGTCAGAAACAATAACTGAGTGGAGAGTAAGAAGGACACAGAAGATCCCATGTCATTCTACACTGGAGACGTTGACAAAGATATAGAGGATAGGGAAAGAGAGAGGCGGGAGGAGGGGGGGGGGGGGGGGGGGGGAGGGGGGGGAGTATGAAAGTAACAACAACCCGCTCCACTGACAAACGAGATAAGAGGCCAGGGTGGATCAGCCATACTTACAACAGCAAGATAGCTCTGAACACAAATGTAAGAGAATGAAGACAGCAAAGACAGGAGTATTAGACAGCGGGGGGGGGGGGGGGGGGGCAGAGCGAGAGACAGGCAGAAGAAGCCGTAAGTTACTCACGTGCTGTGTCAGCTTTAGTTAGTTGTTTAAGGGAGTGTGCTTTAAGATGAGCAGAGCTTCACCGGTCTGAGCGTCAGCTTGTCCAGTCAGCCTTTATATCGAGCCCTCTGCTGATCCCTGAGCTTTTTACTGTCCTCCCTCACATCCGCTCCTCAACGGGTTCTTCAAGTACTCCCGTCCTTACTCCTGGAAACACACATCTTACTCAGGAATCTGGCTTCTTTTTATTAGGGCAGTAAGCTCACCATGCTTTATGTATGTAGGCCTTTGACACAATTGACAAAATCACACACTGATGAGCAAAACTCAAAGGTGGAAGAAGAACTCTGATTTTATACAAGTAAAAGAAACAATACCAGAGTGTAGAAATACTCTGTTACAAGTTAAAGTCAGGTGTTGATCCTTTTTACGCAAGCATGAAAACACACTTAAAGACCCAAAAGTAAAATTACTCACTATGCAGAATGGCCTGCTTCAGAATATTGTATATCATATTATTGGATTATAGTTATTGATGCCTTAACGTTTTCATCGCTCTCATAAAGAAGCTGGTAAAGGTGAAGCTAATTTTCATTTCTTTGTATAAAGTTTATCTGCTCAGTAGCTTGTGAATTTCCCAGGGGATCAATAAAGTTTTTCCTTGATCTATAATATTACATCCTAATTTATTTGTTGAATATATATTGTATTATTAATCTGAACATGCAAAGTAACAAGTAACTGAAGTTATCAAATGAATTAAGTGGAGTAAAAAGTATAATATTTTAATAATACCTCAAAATTGTATTTAAGTACAGTTTTTGAGTACATGTACTTTTCACCCCCCTGTGGCATATTATGGGGAGGTTTGTGTGAGCTACAGGATGCATATGTTCTACTCTTGCAGAATAAGTCTGATGTGATAGTGAATTATTTGTAGAACTGCCTGAACAAAGAAATCTCATGTCAGTCTCATTTAATCATTCTTACAGTATCACACAAGACAGCAAACACATTTGCACTAATCTAACCTTCAAACAAATTTAGGAAGAAGATAAAACTAACTCCTTCATAACTCATTGTAAAACAGACTACTGCTAACTGAGAGGCAAAATTCAGTTGTATGTGACTTTAATTTGGATCACCAAGCTAAATACTGAAAAAGGTTATTGGGATTAATACTGGACTTTAATTGTGTGCCTCTTTGTGTGTGTGTGTTTGTGTGTGTGTGTGTGTGTGTGTGTGTGTGTGTGTGTGTGTGTGTATGTGTGTGTGTAGCAGCCAGGAGGCAATCCGTCCAAAGAGGGCTGTCATAAATTTTAAGCTTTTAAGTAATATCCAAGACAATGTCACATTTACGACCTGCCAGAAATTTATAACAGACCCAAATGCATCCGCTTCTTGGAAACCTCATGACCCAAAAGAACTTTAATGCTTCTTCCTACATGTGACACTTATCTGTTTTCCTACATGATGGTGAAATGTTATTGCAGGCTGGGTTTACTTTGCTGTTTGAATACTCACCAGAAGAGGAAAATGAAAAGTATTGCCGCCGTTGTTTCTGTTTTATTGCAATTCAATGACACAAGCACAGCTTTGTATCTCTTCTGTAGCACTTCTTGTAACACCACAATGACACACAAGCTCTCTTTACATTTTTCCATCACCTAACGATAGGCTCTTTATAATGTGTTCTTATGTTCATGGAATTCCCTTTAACCAGCACTTTAACCTTATAGTCAGTGTATTATTTCAAACCAAGTGTGTTGGAGTAGCCTAAATCAATTCAAATGAATCACTTACAGCTTACTACCCTAACTGAATACTTTTTTTGTATTGAAGTTCTCGTTAAACGATACATCTGGAAATAGTATTTATTTTCTTAGTGTCATAAATTAACAAATACCATAAAAAGAAGAAACTCAACAAAGAGTTATACTACAAAGGTATTGTCTGTGTAGCCAAAGCCTGATATAGTTTATTCCTGTGTGCCATTAATGGAGCTGGCACGAATAGTTGAATAACCGATTGACAGAAAACTAATCTGCCCCTGTTTCGATAATTGATTGAATGTTTAAGTAATTTTTTAAGGTGAAAACGGCAAAAAATCTGTGGTTCTACTTTAAAATGGTGAATATTGGCTTGTTTTCTTAATCTGCAATGATACTAACTATATCTTCGGGTTTTGGACTGGAAAAGAAAGAACACAATAATGAGACACACTATTGCACTGGATGACATATTCCTTCATTATCATTATCATTATTTATTCATGAGTTAGTCCTACATACACCACATGTATACCCACAAGATCCCTAATGTGTAAGCTGTGGCGGAAAATAGTCCCTAACAAATGCAACATTTACACCTGTGTGGCTGTGCTGGCCTTTAAAGATCAGTACAGCATCATGAGATACAATAGGCTTGAGTGCCACAGACAGGGTGGTACAGAAGAAAGCAAATATTTAGAGACGCAGTAACGTATTGTTGGTTGATAAATATTCATATATAAATATATAAGATTAAGTAACAAGAGCCCTATACTTTATTTTGTATCCAGCAGGCGGATGTTTCTCGGTCAGGTCTCGCGATGTTAGGCTGGTATCGCGGTATTTAAATCATGTGACGTTCCGCAGAAATGTGTGGCAGCAGTCTTTTTGCTGAGGACACGGAGCTGAACAGTCGCACACTGCTGCAGATAGTTACTAATCATGGTAAGAGAAGTTGTGCAGGGTGTTTTGGTAACAACAAAGTTAGTCATTGTAGGAAATAGTCGACGGCTCTTTAAAGTTACCTGCGTTTTAAGGATAGAAATGTCTATTTTCATGTGTTTACTACCGTCCAGCTGAAGGCCTTTCAACGCATGTGGCGCTGTTAGCCACCCATGTGGCTAATGTTATCCATAAATAATTACTTAACTTTAAACTACCTAGGCTGCCACTGCAAACAGGATTTGTATCTGTCGCAGTCTTACAGGTGAACCCAAGCCTTTTTTTACTTTTAGGCGCAGCACATTAGTTTACGCTGGTGCTTTTCAGTGAACGTTAGCTGATAGCATGAGTTAGCTTCATGCGCAGGCCCAGGACAACACGTGGGTTCATGACGACAACGTGGCTGCGTCTAAAAGTTACCGTAATCTATTAAGAGCACTGCGTTTACGTACGAAGATACGCTTGTGAATAATTGTGGCATTTAAAAAGCCATTTTGCACGATTGACACACATTGGGGGCGATTGTGGCTCGTCTTTCAATCAGAGGGTCGGCGGTTCGAACCCCGGCTCCGCTAGTCGCATGTCGATGTATCCTTGAGCAAGACACTTAACCCCAAAATTGCTCTCGTAGTTGTGCCTACGGTGTAGAAATGTGAATTGTAAGTCGCTTTGGATAAAATCGTCTGCTAAATGACTGTAAGGTAACATTACGTTGTGGCGCTACCAAAAATAACCTAAAAGGAGGACTTTTACAGTGGACGACTGGAAACGCACTTTATGTTGCGGTAGTGTTACTATTTGTCCTTTGTTGTATTGTTTCTCTTGTCAATCTAATGTCTTACCTCCTGCAGGTGCTGTTGCACGTGCTGTTCGAGCACGCTGCGGGCTATGCGCTGTTCGTCGTCAAAGAGGTGGAGGAGATCGGCATGCTGCTGTCTCAGGTGAGTCTTTGGGCCTGCTACTTTTGGCGGGTGTAATCTGATATTTGGATGGATCAACGGTAACCGGCAACTTGTTTTTTTCAGGTGGAGGAGAGCGTGCTGAGCATTGGAAAGTTCAACAGCATGGTGAGCTTGGCTGCCTTCTTCCCCTTCAAGTCGGCGCAGGCTGCTCTGGAGAACATGAACGCCATTTCTGAAGGCAAGATGGGTTTTCTACTCTGTGGCTCTATCGGTGTCCTCTGTTGTAATGATGTTCAATATCTGTCAATCCCCTGAGTAACTGTGCTGACAACTCCGATAACCCTGAACAACCGAGGAACACCTTTTGAAATGCAGCAGTGTTTGAATATGCTGACACGTGGTTATTTAGTTTTTCATTTGGAGTTTTTTATTTTGGACACCAAATTATTTATTAATCAAGAATTAAAAATAACCAAATTGTAGTCCAAATCAATTAAGGTACTTATACATTTGTGCAGTAGCCAAGGCCAACGGTTAAATACGTTTTGGACAGGCAAGTCATTGTCTTATCCAGTTGGCCATTTCACAAAATTCATATAGTGTTGGACAGACTACGCCGATTACATGAGGAAGTAAGCATAGGCAACCATTTTTAAAACCAGCTGGTTGAAAATAAGCAGTTAAATCTGCCCTCCATTGATCAGAAGCCACATCAGTCACTGCTGCAAGTCTGAAATTGATTTTCTGCAGAATCTGAGCTTGATTCAAACAAATGTACACCGAATGATAAGTGATCTCCTTTACTTCCAGGTGTGGTGCATGCCGACCTGAAGCTGTTCCTGGAGACGAACCTGCCCCTCTCTGGGAAGAAGAAAGCTATGTTGGGGGTTTCAGATGCGAAGATTGGAGCATCTTTACAAGAAGAATTCACCATTTCCATCCAGACTGGGGGGGTGGTGGCAGAGATAGGCAGAGGTGAGGAGACGGTCTGCCTGAGATTTATTTACATGGACATGCTGCTAAAAATGTGTAAATTGTAGCACATTAACTATAATGTGGCTGTCGTGATGAAATTTTTTTTAAACCCTGAAACTCATGAAGGTTCATACTGAAAATCTGAACTGCCACTGGTCACATGCTGTTCTGCTATGAACCATTAAACTCAAGAAAAACACTTTGTCTGTTATCTTTCCTGTCAGGTGTGCGTGTGCACTTCCACTCCCTCGTGAAGGGTCTGACTGGCCATGCTGCCTCCAAGGCACAGCTGGGGTTGGGCCACAGCTACTCCAGAGCTAAAGTAAAGTTCAACGTCAACCGAGTCGACAACATGATCATACAGTCCATTGCTCTGTTGGATCAGCTGGACAAAGACATCAACACTTTCTCCATGCGTGTCCGGTAGGGTTCCTTCATCGCACCACTTTTCAGATAGTGTTTTTTCACTGTCACTTGTGTTGCATGGTAATGTTGTCTTCTGACAATGGCGTCCTCAGTTGTAGTGATGTTCTATATCTGTCAATCCCCTGAGTTCCCGTGCTGACAATTCCAATGTAACCCTGAACAACTGAGGCACGTCTTTTGAATATGCTGAACTGATGACCGTTTTTATTTTGATGCGTGTTTTTCTTTTTCTAACGATCACTGTCTTGTGTCTGCAGTGAATGGTATGGCTACCACTTCCCAGAGCTGATCAAGGTCGTGCCGGACAACTCTATGTACTGCCGCATGGCTCAGCTCATCGGAAACAGGAAGGAGCTGTCAGAGGAGAGTTTGCCGAGTCTGGAGGAAGTGGTGATGGACGGCGCCAAGGCTCAGGCAATTCTGGACGCGTCCCGTTCCTCCATGGGTCAGCAAATGTTCTTTTTCATTCTTTAGACATTAAAATACAAATGTGAATGAAATGTATTTTCCAACCACTTGGCATCTGTGCACAAAACCTGCTCATTTGCACACTAGCCTTTTTAAAGGACATGTATAACTTAAAACTACAACATGCCCCTTTTATGCCCACTCTGGACTAATAATTGTCCTTGGTGAACAACACAGGGGGGCACATTAACTCTCTCATAAACCTGTAGTGCAGGCAACCCCATCCTCACTGCGGATCCTGTCGGGAGAAACAATCACACATTGCATTTGAGATTACCAGTTGGTTATAGATGGTAGCTGCACCCACTGTGCAAAGTGGGTGAGTAGTTGGGTTTCTCTAAACACCCTCTGTGATCTGTTCTCCAGGTATGGACATCTCCCCCATCGACTTGATCAACATAGAGAGATTCTCCACTCGTGTGGTGTCTCTGGCCAGCTATCGGCTGGAGCTGCAGGAGTACCTGCGTTGCAAGATGAGCCAAGTGGCGCCAAATCTAGCAGCCTTAATTGGAGAAGTGGTAAGTTGAATGTGTTTTATATATTGCATTACTCTGGGACCAATGATGATCTACCAATCTGTCAATCCCCTGAATCTCTGTGTTGACAAATATTTCCGGTTTCCTGATGGTCCTCGCATCAAAATCAAGTCTATCCTGTAATGGTGGCTCTGTGTTCGCCAGTGAGACTGACTCTAGATTTCATTTTTCTTCAGGTGGGAGCTCGTCTGATCTCCCATGCGGGCAGTCTAACCAACCTGGCAAAGTACCCGGCCTCCACAGTCCAGATCCTGGGAGCAGAGAAGGCCCTGTTCAGGTACTGGGGCCCCCCCTCCCTGCTGGGGAAAGAGGTGGCTGCAGTGATGGCAGGGCTGGGCAGGAGCAGAGCAGGGTGACTGGAGAAGACAAAACTATAAAGTCTCCTCCGGAGTGACCCCTCTCTCACCATTGCACCCCCACAGTCTGAGCAGCCACTCACAGCACTGAGGTAGAACATCTGAACAACTAGTTAGTCTGTATGCTTAACACACACTAAATATCCATAGCAATAAACCATAACTAAATATCCATGTTAGGAATGCAGTGTCCTTTTTGCTTAGATGCTTAATAAAAAGTTAACCAAAGAGCCCAAAACAGTTTGTTAAACTGACAAGATGGGTTTTCTACTCTGTGGCTCTATTGGTGTCCTCGGTTGTAATGATGTTCAATATCTGTCAATCCCCTGAGTAACTGTGCTGACAACTCCGATAACCCTGAACAACCGAGGAACATCTTTTGAAATGCAGCAGTGTTTGAATATGCTGACCTGACACGTGGTTATTTGGTGATTTTTATTTTGGACACCAAATTATTTGTTCATCGAGAATTACAAATGACCAAATTGAAGTCTAAATCAATTTAAGGTACTTATAAATTTGTGCAGTAGCCACGGCTAAACAAACATTTTGGACAGGCGAGTGATTGTCGTATCCAGGTGGCTATTTCACAAAATGAATGTAGTGGTTGATTCTATAACTAAAGTCGGCTGTATTTTCACACAGAGCCCTAAAGACTAAAGGCAACACCCCCAAGTACGGGCTAATCTTCCACTCCACCTTCATCGGACGTGCTGCTGCCAAGAACAAAGGCCGCATCTCCAGATATCTGGCTAACAAGTGCACAATCGCCTCACGCATTGACTGTTTCTCCGGTGAGTGACGCAACGTGTGGACTAATGCCCACGTTAGCTGTATGTGGCATAATTGCAATGATGCTCATATTTTTCGTCAACAGTATTCATCCTTCGGGTTGGTGGTGACAAGCTAATATTCCTGAGCAACGCCACGTGTCACTTTAAACTACAGTCATCCACTGCAGGCTTTGTGATTGAATTTGTTTTGTATTTTCTTGCAGAGGTACCCACAAGTGTATATGGTGACAAGCTGCGTGGACAGGTGGAGGAGCGCCTGTCTTTCTATGAAACTGGTGACTTGCCACGGAAGAATGTGGATGTCATGAAAGAGGCTGTGAAAGAGGTGAGCTCAGGAAAAAATCATCACATTTAATTTGTTGCTGTTTTTTTGTTTTTTTTTAATGCTTCTAATGATAAGTTCAGTGTGTCGATGCTGTGAATGATGACACGTCTTTGCCTGACTTCACTGAGGGTACAAAATGATTTAATGAGCCTGACGCAGCATTACTACCATCAAGAGCAAAATTATGGTTTCAGTTGGATCAAAAACAATCTCTAAATTATTTTTCTTGTCTTAGGCTACTGATGTTGCAACTGAGATAAAGCGGAAACTGGACAAGAAGGAAAAGAAACGCAGGAAGCATGCAAAGAAGCTGCAGGATGAAAACGGCGATGCCAACAGTGACGTTGAGGTAAGCATTATTTGTAGAAAACGGCATGTTTCGATTTGAGATTTGACCCACACGTGGTCCTGTCTCAGTGTACGACATGCTAGATCAGCCTGACTCCGAACCATTGGCTGGTCCAGAACAATGGACCTGATCACTGAAGTGAGTCAGACATTGCAGTCACTTAAATTATACATTTATGGATAGCTCAGAAGTATTAAAAACAAATCACTATTGTTTCATACCGTTCTCTACTTTCTTGCAGGCTGAGAACGGAGACACCCCCGTTGTGAAGAAGAAGAAGCAGCAAGCGGCCGAGGAGATGGAGATGGAGGTAGAGGAGGCCCCAGCGAAGAAGAAAAAGAAACGAAAATCTGAGACCATCGAAGCAGAAGAAATCCCAGAAACGCCTGCGTCTGGCAAGAAAAAGAAGAAGAAAAAAGAGTCCACAGATTAGAGGCTGTGGTCAAAGACTGAATCTTTATATTTGTGTACAGTTTTATTTTTTTATTTCTACTCTCTTAAGGTATGTAAGCAGCATTATGTTTTTTTTTTTTGTTTTGTTTTTTTTTTGCAACCTCAAAGCAGGTTTGATTGCAAATAAATGCTTATAACTGTGCCTTGAAGTCTGACATTTACTTACTTCTGTAAATAACTTATCCATTAAACTTTTGTCCAGTAAATCATCATGAATTCTGTTTTGCCTGTTGAAAGGATCGTATGGTTTGGGATTTCCATGATCTAGTTTCTCCCAAATGTCACTATGAGGCGGTTTCATCAGCAGCACTTAATGCTATTGTCTGGCCCCTTTGTGCCTCATGTCCATATAATGCTTTAAAAATATAATTACACGAGATGTGTGACCTCTAAAGGAGTGTTAATGGTTTGTAGGGACGACTTTTCTCCAGTTTTGACTTTAACATGGATTGAAACTAGGCGGTTGCTTCTAAATCTTTGCTGAAGGTTGACGGTATGTTGGAATACTGATGAGAGCATTTACAAAGCCTCGGTAATAAGACTGCAGTATTAAAGCTCAGATTCAATCTAATCACCAAAAATGACATGAGGGTGAGTAGTTACTGATTTGTACTAGAGATTGCTCATACACGCTTCTATGTAGGGTGACATCAGTCTACACGGGTGTAGCTAATCACATTGATTATGGCTCTGCTCAGCCACAAAGTGCCAGCAACCTGGACCTCAAGTACCTTAATGCGAATATAAATTATGGTCATTACCTACACCTGTTAAGTAAAATCTTGTCAGAACGATCTAGCAAATAACAGCTCCCATATTCAGTGTTGTAATCAATGTAAATCTGTGTGTGCTGACAGGTGTTCAATGTCACTTGACTGTGTAGCTGCCTGAAAATTGACAGTTGGTGTAGCTAGAGAACAGTGAACACTGGGGTGACCACGCAAACCACAAGTTAAGACATTACATTGACAAATTGACGCCGAAAGTAAAGTATTAGCTGCAGATTACAAAGAGCACAACAAGCCACTGCCTCTAAACTCACCTCTTAGAGTCCGGTATATAAAAATCAGAGCTCAGCAGGTAAAAGCTTGTTGGAGGTGCTGGAGCTGCCTATAATAGAGCATCCAAAAAATGCATATTGCAAGTGTGTGTGTGGATACCCCCCACCCCCCCATCAAAAATCTCCACAAAAAAGGAGACAGGTTTCTGTTTGTTGTTTTGACTTATAAATGGTCAAAAGTGTATTCTTTAAAAAAAAAAAAAATAAATGAAAATGGTCCTGTGTTAGGTATCATGTTACCATTACAGGCTAATGTTTTATATTTGAGCATCCGATATTAATACTACTGGTACTTTAAGTTATATTGCTACTGGAGCCTTGTTGGCTGGCCTTCAGTTCTTTGTGTACTTAGGCACAAGCTCGCAGGTGCTGACGTCCATGCTGCCCGTGTCCTGAACATGTCTGGCACAATTACGTCCTTTGGTTGTTTAGCAGGCCTATATATCAAATACTGCCTCGACTATCTGCATTGTAAGACTGCGAACAGTTTGGTTCATAATGGATTAGCATGATTCTGCATGTGCATGAAACTTCATGGGTCTGTATCCAGGGAACAATGTGCTTGTTAAGTATTGATTCCAGACCCATATAAACTGTTAAGAACTTTTAATTTGGACAACAAGGATTAAACCAATGTTAAAATGACATCAAATCCAAGGCCTGGCCGGTAAAACCAGCCAACTAGTAAGAGTTGAGGAATGAGAGAAAGATGGAGGGAAACCAGGTAAAAAGAAAAGTCAAGCTATCAACTCAAGTCACCCTCAATATAAGGATTCACAGATGCGGGAGACTAAAGTTACAAAAACGTATTTCTTCTAAAACAAAAAAAGGCCTTTGCCGTGAAAATGATGTGTAGAATTTATGTACATCATTCTCGGTTCATGTATGCATACAAAAAAAATCCACATCACAAGATGCTTGTGTTCAAGTATATTCACCAACTTCATCTCCATTAATTTAGCATTCTCATTTTTCCACTTTTTTTTTTTTTTTTTGAAATAAAACGTCCTTCAAAATAAAAACAAAATGCAGAAAACCACATTTTATGTCCTACCAATACATATATACTGTATAAATACATACATAAATATATTTTACATACAACAGCCATAAATTTGAAAAGGGGATATACAGAGCAGGGGGGGTGGGGGTGGTAGTGTGTGTTTTAGCTTGTGTTGTAAAATGGTTTGTCCCTCTATTTTCTCATCAGTCAGATACACAGGTGTGGTGCAGTGTGTTGGCGTCTGTGTCAATACACACACACACACACACACACACGCACATGCACATCTCAGTTGGCCCAGTAGGGGGAGCTGCCGTAGCTCGACTTGTTGACTTGGCTCTTCTGCTGCAGGCTGCTGGACTGGCCACGCTGGCTCGGACCACCCTGAACATGGATAGACATGTGTGTGAGCGCCTGGAGAAACCGGTAAAACCAGTGCAACAACAACAACAAAAAATGTCTGCGGGTGTTACCTGTCCATCCTGAGCTAGGTGGTGGTGCAGCAGCTGTGAGTGTGGTTGCTGGTGAGGCAGGATGTGGAGGAATGGAGCCGGTGCATAGCCTCCGGGAGCTGCTCCGGGGTTCAGAGGCCCCGGGCCCCCCAGCGCTGATGGCAGACTGAAGGGAGGAGGTGTGCCCGCATGGAAACCCTGCTTATCAAAAGACTGCAGATAAAGTACAAATTAAACTCAAAACTGGATTATTTATTAGCATCAATACAAGACAACAGTGGGTGGGGCTCACCTGGGTCTTATTGTAAACACTTCCACTGATGTCTGGCACACCGGAGTTACTGGACGTCACCGAGACGCCTAGCAGAATGACAGCAACAACATGTACACATTACAAACCACTGTAAAAATCCAAATGAACATATTGGAAACACTTAATTGTTTCCTCCTTCTTACCTTTGCCGGGCCCAGAAGCAGCAGCTTTGGCTTGTGCCTGTGAGGAGGAGTTGTATCCTTTACTGTAGTCCACTCCTGCTGGCCCTGCTGTCAGCTCCTCATACCCTGCGCAAGAAAACTAAGTTCAGTGTGCAAACGATACACACAAGAGTTTGGGAACTACTTAACCCAGCATCAAATGAATTTCCCAAGCTGCATGAAGTGGTGTGCTCACTAACCTGAGCTGAAGGCGTGCTGGCCGTAACCACTGGGCTGCTGCTGCGTCTGCTGCTGGAAGGGGCTCGCCGAGGGGTTTCCCAGACCGAGGCCCATACTGTGCTGCTTGGCCGAGGCCGGGCCCCCGGGAGGAACAAACATGGTGTGGCCATACTGGAAGGCAGCAGCACTGGGTACGGCACCGGGAACCCCGGTGTAGTAAGGCAGACCTGCGTAGCTGTAGCCTGGAGGCAGAAAGGCCTGCTGACTGCTGTGGTGTTGTGGCTGGCTGTGGTGTTGTGGCTGGCCCTGGGGTTGAGGCTGGGCCTGGGGGGGCTGAGGCTGGGCCTGGTTCTGTCCTTGGCTCTGGCCCTGGGAAGCCTGAGAGGCCGCAAGGCTCGTGGGGGGTGCCGGGGAGGTGGAGTCGTTCCTGCCAAACTTTGTGACTTCACCTGAAAAAACAGTTGAGATGTCACTTGAGAACAAAACACAGGATTTTAGGATTTTGGACAAGGCCAGCAAGGGTTGAAGGAGCTTTACCTGAGTAGGGGTTGTTGGCGAGGCTCCCGTCTCTACCAGAGAGAGTTGCTGCAGGGCCAGGGAATGTGATTCCATAGTAATCCTGCAAAGAGGGCTAAAAGGGACAGGAGAAGGATGAGGAGGAGAAGAGTCAGACAACACCACAACAACCTAAACAAGTTGATTTAGAACGAGAGAGGAGCCGTCCCAGGAGTGTGGTGATGAGGCTCACCATTGGCAGTCTGGACTGGAGCATATGGAGGTCTTCGTAACCATAGATCTGCTGTGAAACACAAAGGACAGAGATCATCAGCGAGAGAAACTGCAAAATGTTTCAAGAAAAAAAACAATATATACACATATACACACACACACACACACACACACACACACTGTTGAACTGAAGGGACTAGCAAATATCATGATTTGTGTTCACCGATTTCAAAGAAAATCCAGCACACTGCCATGATTCTAGACCCCGAGGGTCTACTTACTGGGTATGCTGGCAGCAGCCCCCCTGGGCCCATGATATACTGGTTGGGCAGTAGAGGAGGCACTCCCTGGGATAAATTAGGAGGAGCTTTACCTGTCAAAACAATGCCGCCACAACCATCACTTTCACGTGAACAAACGGCAACAAGTACAAATATTTGGGCTTGTATCATCAAGGGAGCTTAACAAATGAGTGAAAGCAACACATCACACATTTCCCGTGTGTGTCTGTGCTTACCGGCTGTGGATGAGAGCAGAGCCGTGTTCCTCGGTGCAGAGAGGTTGGACGTGGCAGTAGCTCCATTGGAGCCGAGTCCCAGCGCTGCGCTGGCGGCAATGGCAGCATTGTGAAGTACACTGGCGCCGACAATACCACCGACCGTGCTGCCCATGTGGTTGCCCATGTGGTTGCCCATGTGGTTGGCCATGTTGGCCATGTTGACCAGGTGGCCGATGCCGCTGCTACTGTTGCTGCTGTTGTGGGTCGAGTGGAGTGCGGAGGGCTGCGATGACGCGTAGGACGGAGCCAGAGAGCTCACGCTGCTGTGGTCAACACCGGTGTACTTCGGACAGGGAGGAAGCGGGACATCGGTCGACGTCATTTGAAATAAAAAAAGAATGATGCTTGGGGAAGACGAGACATGTACTTACGGTGAGAGAGCTGGAGCCCAGAGCTGACACTGAGGAATGATTGCTGACATGACTGTAGAGTGAAGGCAGAGAGGGCAGACATGATCAGTGTATTGTGGTTATCATGAATAGATTTGTGCCGTGTGCGAACATGTGGCAGCAGCAGGCACCCACTATACTAAACTCTCTTCCGAGTATTCAGGCTGGCTGAACATGGCCAGTAAATTCAAACTTGTGCAATGTGGGTTCGTCACCTGTTGAGTGAGTTGAGTTGGCTGGCTGAGGGCAGGTCCTGTGCCAGGTTGGAGAGCGTGGTGGAGCTGTGTGCGGGCAGGGAGGATTGTAAGTGGGAGGAGGGAGCCGAGGCACCGTTGGTGCTGATGTTCAGAGACGGCGACTCCGGCTTCGGTGTAGAGGACACTGATGAAGCTGAGAGTAAGAGGAAAGAAAAGGACTTCATTTGTAAAAGACTCAAAATAGCACAGCCAACGAAAGATGGCTCTTGGTCGACATTTACAATAGAAAGTATACATCAGTACTGGGAACTTACTGTCTAGAGCAGTAGAGGTCCTTACACCATTCAGACCATTCTGCTGATATAAAAACGCAGCTCAGTGTCAGCGTATACCGACAACAGATCAAGACCACTATCATATCGATGTGGCAAACATACACAGTGCGAACAAAACATCATTGAATTCAGTACACACTTGATCTACATGTGAGAGGATCAGACGAAAAAGGTGAAAATCAAAACCTAAAACAGGATTCAGGCTATTACTATAAAGTTTGATTGTCTTAAGGGGCTCCGGGCAAATGCAGGCAAAAAAAACTACAAAGCTGTATTAACTTGGCCATTTCTCACCATGACTGGTCCCGTGGCCTCTTTACTCTGGGAAAAGGCCAGTCGTGTGTGAGGGGGCATGGTCCCGTCGTAACTCCCCCCCACTGTGGAGAAGTGAGAGGAGGGTACAGAGGAGGAGGTGGTGGAGACTGTCGAAGAACACGATTGTGGGTTGGAGGAGCCGGCAGTCCCTAATGAGGAGGGAGCGAGGCTGGGCATCGGCACAGAGGAGTGATATACTGGCTCTGATGAGGAGAGAGGCAGGGCCACGGAGAGAGGGCTGCCCAGCGACTCACTGCAACACAGCAGGGAGAGAAGGAAAAGTTATTAGATACACTTCGTTAACAAACCCTCCGCATTAAGGCTCTTTGATCCATTTCATTTCTGATCTGTAGTGTTTTAGAATTTTCAAACAGTTTCTGTTTTCATATGTATTAAAAGGTTAGAACTAGTCAGTCAGCAGCGACGGTACCTGAGTGGTTTGGAGTACAGGCTCGTCTGGCTCTGTGTCCCTGGTCCCGGTGCAGGGGCCGGTGTGGACTCCCTGGATGCTGCCATCGCACAATTGTCAACGCCTCCGAACTCCGGCAATGCCGACTCCGAGCCGAAGTCTAGAGCGCCGAACTGGAGGTTCAGCCCGGGGACGTCAGCCGAGCCGGGCATCTCTACCGCTGTGGAGGGGATCTGCCACAATGGAGGGAACGGTCAGGTTTCCGGGGCCATGATTTTAAGCTCATATAACTACCTTGTATGTGGTCATTTAGAAAAGATTTGCCTAAATATGCAAATAATATAT